ACCATTTACTACTGAAAATATCAACGAGATGTTTATTTATATTTGAAGACATATTAAAGGCTTTAACGCTTGTTTTCGACTCGCACTACTATTCATGACTGAACAAAACTTTTGGCAGGTACTGTATGAAAAGGTATGTTTAATGAACAAGAGTCGAGCGTATAATGAGCTTTTTTCCCTACCTACGATTTTGCCAGCGCGCATCCAAGATATTGGAAGGGGCACATCGCTACAGAAAGTAAATGAAGTATACATCTCAAATCAAATTTTGATAGACCTAAAGAATTTAGAGAAGTAGTATAGCGATAGTTATTTACTACGTAATCTATTAAAAAAAACACAACAGTATGCGAACTTCCGCATCACTTTTCCTTTCTTGGAAATTAGATTGAACTGGTCACTTACATAGTAAAATTAGGGGAAGGTGTTTTAAACAATTTTCTTTCGTTTCCTTTACGAGATTGACAATTACTAATATAATTACAACAGATACTGTTTTTGGAGCATCACCTACGAGATAGGCAGAGATTTAACTTTTATCCATCTCAACTTAACCTAACCTACGCTATCTAACCCAACATAAGACAAACTAACAGAAGCTACGTTAGCTGGTATTAAGACGGATAACAATTTTCCCTTTCCTCTGGGGGTTATTCCTGCAGCATCTCGTAGTGGAGGCTTCTAATATAACTTTATAATTGAACCATTTTAAACCATTTTTAAGAAAAAAGGTTAATTTTTCCAAAACTCCGTGATACGGAACTTTCTAGTACTTCTAGTACTTTCTAGCAGTTATGGAACATTGTCAATAAAATAAAACAAGGTTACACAGGATTTTTTTCACAAATTATTTATTGCAAGGAAAAATACTACTTCTCTATCTTATCATGAGATTATTTTTAATCCTAATAGTAAACTAGAGACCCAGAGGACGTATTAAATCAAAGCTTTTTGATTCGAGGCACCCTATATATTTAAAATCTATATTCCAGACGCGTCAGTTTCTTCTTTACCACAGGACTACGACACCACCAATCCCCACGATCAAAGTCAAAATAAACATCGAAGAGATTCAGGTATCGCATAACATTATGTTCGAAATAAACTGATAAAAAAGGTAGACGTATCGTCGCACATGGCTGAAGTGAATACTTCTTAGAAAACAAGTGTATAAGATTCTTACTTTACTCAAAGCTTATTAAAACAAATGTGAGACTGGACCAATACACTGGACAAAACTCCTTGTACTCCACGTTCATTTTTTGTCCTTGTCGCATAAAAGTATTCACTTCCAAAATTTAAAGTATTGGAATTATTGAAGAGAGCCCTTTGAAAAGTCGCTGTCTTTGCTACAAACGAAGTTTCTCCTCTGTTATGTCTACTGAGTTACACTTTTTTCAATTGTAGGGTTCTGTACCCATAGGCAATTGGATCTTGTTCCTAATTAAGCTTAAAGTGTTTGTTAATCTGCCATAAGGCTTTATTTCAGTAACGGTGAGAATTAGCCACTTAAAATGTTCAAAGAATGTACATGTTTGTTATTTTAGCACAAATTTTACCAAATGATGACGTATTCATAAAACTTAATACTAAGGGATATAATACTCATTTACACCCATTGATATTCTAAAAATTTTACTCCAGTTGTATTTCAAAAACGTGTAATCATGCAAGTGCCATATTAATTCTATCGTTAAAATAAAAATCCCGGACAGAGGTAACTTGTCTAGCGTGGTACAGAACCCTCGAATACAAAGGTCATTCAAATATAAACGAGCCTTTTACTCTTGTGGACTTGGAAAGCGTTTAGCCGGTAGGCGTAGCGTTTGATAGGGAAGGGGGTATTGCTTCTAAATGACTCAAGGCCAAACGGGTCGCAGGACCGATTTGTTAAGTTGTCGTCGCAATGAGCGAAATAGAGGTTCACCATTATAATTTATGCATCATTATAAAATTTTTAACGAATGAAGGCGTTAAACTTGCCAAAATTCGAGACCGAGATCATGTAAAGTTCAGGGAGGATGTACGCTCATGATAGCGAATAAAAGCCTGGTGTGCCGAATTCAAGAAAGGGCGTGCAAATGTACAAAATTTGAGTCATCCAAGATTTGCCGTTCGCGAACTCATTCAAAGAGATTGGCGCTTGACCGTGACAAAAATAAGTAAAGTAATGGGAATCAGTGTTGGGAGTGTACACAGCATTATCCGAGACCAACTTAAACTCCGAAAAATCGCGGCAATATGGATGCCACGTTTGCTTACCCATGAAAACAAAAATGCGAGAATTGAAGTTTATCAGGCGCTTCTTGCTCGGTTTCACAACCAAGGGGAGGCATTTTTGCATCATATTGTAACGTGCGATGAAATTTGGATTCACCACTACACTCCCTAGTCGAAGAGGTCCAGTATAGAGTGGAGAACAAAAGGAGTCAGGACCATCGAAGGCGAAAACTCCCTTGTCAGCTGGGAAGGTGATGTTGATTGAACGACGTTTTGAGACTCTCAAGGAGTTTTGCTCCTCGATTTTCTATAAAATCGTCGTACGATAAACGCTCCAATTACTGTGACCTTCTTGACAAGGTTCGAGCTGCCTTTCGGCCAAAAAGACGCCGGCGTCCAATCCAAAATATCCTGCTTCTGCATGATAATGCAACACCCAACAATTCAGCCCTAATGGTCCAGAGATTAATGAAAATGCTTTGGACTAAACTCGACCACCCTCCCTACAGCCCTGATCATTCACCATGCGATTTTTATTTATTTGGACCTTTCAAGGAAGCACTTGGTGGGGAGTGTTTTGCGAACAATCAACAGGTCGAACAGTTTGTGCGTAAATGGTTGAATACTTGCCCGAAGTTATGCATCGAAAATGGCATGAAAAAACTACCTGTTCGATGGGAAAATGTATAAATAAAGAAGAGAACTATGTAGAAAAATTACTATCAAGTATGTTTTATTTTTAAAGTAATAGATAACTTTTTTGACAAAGGCTCGTTTATATTTGAGTGACCTTCGTATGTGTCGCATTTAACTAGTTTTAATTTGCACTACAGTCCTTGTTTTAGGAGATGATTATTAGATCTTTTCAGGCGGTACCACAAACAACAACGATATATCCTTCTACCGAAGTTTGGGTAAACATCCATGCCGACTAAAATGCCCATTTTGTGGCAAACAAACGATTACAAAAGTTACATATTTACCAACAAGAGCAACAGATTACTACGCAATACTATTGATACCACTCTTCTTATGCTTTCTGCCGTATATGATGAAAGGCACCAAAATGGCAAAGCATGACTGCTGTCTATGCGGAAAAACAATTGGAATAGAATAATGACAGTAATACTCATACACCTTTAGATAATAGTAATATGTTATTTGAACAATTAGGTAAATCTTGATTCAAGCCCATTGACGTAAGTAACAATCAGAGATTTGTAAAATATAAGTTTTGCTATTTTACATAAACAGTTTTAACTATTTTTAAATATAAATATTCCTTGTTGGTTTGCCATGCTTTATTAGTAACAGAATAAAACATTAAATAATTTAATGGTAGATTCGGTTTAAGTCTAGGGTGAAATAGGTTTATAAAATAGCTATCTTGCTATATCAATAACCTATTACACACTTAACATTCCCAATTCGACTATTGTCATCTGTACCATTTTCTTCTTCATTTATTTTAGGAAGTAAAACCTGCGACCCCTTCTACTACAGGAAAATGGGCAGACAACCAAGAAAATTGAAGTGTCCTTTCTGTAACCAGAGGATCTGTACACGGGTTATCCTTATACCATCTCGAAGAACTGATTATTATGCAATAGTTCTATGTCCACTCTGCCTATGTTTTCTTCCCTATTTTATAAATGCTACCAAAATCGCCAAACACCAATGTCCTAATTGTTGTAGAACACTCGGATTGGAATAAAATTAATACCAAAAAATAATCTATTATTTATCGTTTACCGTATTAATGCATTCAGTATTGTCAAAAGGTTTTGTGGATCTTCGAATCCTATGTATACGCTCGTTCTTTTTTCAACTTATAACCATAATACTAATCGGTACCGACTCACACGTTTCCGATACTGTACGGTAAATGTTTATGGAAATGTGTTATTTCAGACTATAATTATGTTATATTACATCATTACGTATTATTATAAGTAAGTGTAACTCTGAGTTTATGTTTGGATTAGCGTATCTGTCATGGTTAATTCGAATCTGCCAGGGCAGGAGTGAAAATAGTCAGTAATGGATAAATAACTTGTTTTGATTTTGGGGAATGCAATTTACCAAGGAAGTTAAAATTTCTATCATATGCGTCTAATCTGTATGGGTGCGAAACATGGACAGTGGGCGTGGCGGAAAAGAAAAAGTTAGAAGCGTTCGAAATGTGTTCTAGGCGAATGATGGGTATACCATGGATAGAGAAGGTTAGAAATGAGAAGGTATTAGAAAGAATAGGAGAACAGAGGAACTATATGGAAGTCAATAAGAATTAAGCGAGATATGGTGGTAGGACACCTTCTTAGGCATGAAGGGCTAGTCAGACATATTAGAAACAGAAACAGGAGTTAAGAAGGTAGAGGTAGACCTACATAGATTAGATTACTGTTCACAAATAGTTAAGGATGTGGGATGTTCTAGTTTTAGGAAAATGCGAAGATTAGTTCAAGATAGAAAAGAGTGGAGGTGCGGGTCCAACCAGTCTTAGAACTAACGACCTTATGATGATGATCCGTCTAATCTAGATACATAGAAATATCTGTAAAAGTATGAGATGAATTTTCTCAGCAAGCAATAGAAGAAGTACAGTGTTGTTACTATGCCTTTAACAGAAAACCTTTCAAAATATTTATCAAAAATTACACATATCGAGGTGGTTTTACTAACCTTTTATATCTCTACCATACATATCGCGCATCTCCTTTGCAATTCTGACATAAGCTTATTCCAAGTGTAGTACATTGCACAGGCAAATATATACTTCGTTTACTTTCTGTAGCGATGTGACCTTCAGTTTGGCCGACGCAAAGTAGAAAACAACAGCACTAGGCCAGAAAAGGAAGGAGACAACTCTCGGCCAAACTCTTACCGGTGAGGAACGTATAATCCGTACAGTACTGCACGGAAAAATTGACTATTTTATCCACTACAATTACATTGCTCAAATGTGCTGTTATTGGTACCATTTACTACTGAAAATATCAAGGAGATGTTTATTTATATTTGAAGAAATATTAAAGGCTTTAACGCTTGTTTTCGACTCGCACTACTATTCATGATTGAACAAAACTTTTGGCAGGTACTGTATGAATGTTTAATGAACAAGAGTCGAGAGTATAATGAGCTTTTTTTCTCCCTACCTACGATTTTGCCGGCGCGCATCCAAGACATTGGAAGGGGCACATCACTAGAGAAATGAAAGTATACTAATTAGATTCCTTATTAATAAATTGCTTAACCGGCTTAACCTCAAACGAAATTTAAGTGTAAATAGATCATACGTGTGGCGTCCTCTATCCCTACAATCTTCCCCTTGAATAAAGTTAGAAATAAAAATGTCAGCCTGTCAAAATCTCACGTAAAAATTCTTAACGGAGCCTTTTGGAAAAAATATTAAATAATTATGTTATTAATGTAATATGTGTTCTAATAATGAAGCCCGCGAATCAGTTTTATACACTTCAAGATGCTGTAAGGATCAGGAGTGTCCTAAACCGAAGAAGGAGACAATATACTACTGCACGTGCTGTTGTACAACCGTCTGTCCTTTAGAATGCAAGAAGATTACGTGTCTAACACTATGCATCCAATCAATATGCAAGTGCTTATTACCGAATATCAACATACATAAAAAATACTACGTATGCCCCAAATGCAAAGAAAGAGTTGTAGTGATAAAAATATAGAAATAGTGAAATTAAAATATTTTTGTTTATTTCAAGAAATGGTTTGACGATAAAATGATGACGAAATGATTCCTAAAAAGAAAATTTCCAGGACTTTCCGACAAGAAACTTTATCAGTATGCATAAGGGTTTCTATTAAAAATGAAGTAGTGTAACTGGAACATATGCAAATAAGACAAAACGTTTACCGAGCATAAACATAAATAAAAGCATCATTTAGTAAAAAGAAGGAAGACTTCTTGGTTATTCACAAGGAAAATTTCGAAGCGCAAGTTTCCTTTAAACATTTGACACAAAAATCAAATTATATTATAAATTAAATAAAAATTCACTTTATCTAAGTTAGCTTTAAATTCTTTAGATCGAGGAAAATTTCTATAGGTCTAATAACACAGGCCAAAAGTCGATATATTTATATATAAAAGAAAGTCGTGTTAGTTAGAATAAGAACGGCTGAAAATTGGTGGGGAGGTAGCTTACAGCCAGGAGACGGACATAGGATACTTTTTATCCCGTTCCCTGGGGGAGGGGGGAGTGGTGAAAAAGAGTTGCAATGTTTAAATGGAACATATATTGTTTGTCGTCAGATTTACTTGAAACTTGGTCTTAATGGTCTATCATTTAAATTCTGAAAGACCTGTTTCGACATTTTAAAAAATACAACTTCCAAAGACGGGGGGGGGTAAAAAGCTGTTGCAATTTTTGTTTGGGACATACTTTATTTGTAGTTAAATTTACTTGAAACTTGGTATATATAGGTACTGTTAGATATTATTAATCAAATGGAACGAGAAGGTTGCTCATTGTTGAAATTAAGCAAATACGTGTTTTGGCAATTTTTAAAAATCGACCCTTAAGGATGAAATGTTGTTGCTACGTTTGTATTTGAAATCTAAGATGGCGACATTACATAAAATTAAAACGTTGTAAGGGTGAATTGTAAGTTAAAAGGTTTTATGGAGAAACAATATTAATTTCTGTGCGGGGAAAAGCTGGTTTTTAATATTATTCTGTATGTGGCCGACCGACCAGAACCTATGTAAACAAAACCAGCAAGAGCGTCCGCGTGCTTTGAGTTAGAGTTTATTAAAATCTCTTAGGTTATGTTGGCAGCATTGCAATATTCAGAGCAATCTCATAGACGCTAAATCAAACTCCATTCCACTCATACCGTTGAATAATGAACACACTACGTTTTGTATAGTCGGATTTCCAAACAACGACTAGAATAATTATTTATTTTTAGTTTTGCGCTGTTATTAAAACTTCTGATTCGTGTCCATCCGGTTCTAGGAGTGGCGACCTTATGACGATGATGATTGAAATGTCTATGATTTATGTCGAATATTCTACAAATCCCATTATGACGGTTGAGATTTTGGTTGTCAGAATGACAGGTTCGGACATCATGTCTAAAATGAAGCGTAAATTCTAGTTTACAAATTTTTTTGCGATGATAAATGACTAATTGCTGCATTAAAAAAAAATGTGCAGGCAATTGCGAAGACTGTAACGGACGTCGTTCATCATGTAAATCTTGCAAAAGCAAATCTTCCTCGTATTTCTGCAAGCCGAAGCCAAGGAAATGCTGTAGCGGACATAAGAAACGGAAGAAAAAGTGCAAATCGAGAAAGTGCGAGTCGAGCAGGTGCAAAACGAGCAGGTGTGAGTCATTCAAGTGCAGACCGAGCAACTGTGGTTCGACCAAGTGCAATCCGTGCAAATGCGAGTCGACCAGATGCAAACCGAGAAAGTGTCGAGCGAGAAAATGTGATCAAATCGCCGTAGTTCAGATAGACAAAAGTAATTGTTGTGTTCAAAGCAACCTCGAGAGTCAACCGTTCGACTTAGGAGGTCGTAGAACTGGTAGATCTATTTACTTCGCCAAATACCGCAGTAAACAGCTGGATGCCCTCGAGCAGGATTGCGAAAACCAAAAAATCGATTTCAAAACCAGATGCATAGATCAGGAAGTCGAAACAGACGATACATTATGCGCTATACCTAAAACGATTCCAGGTGCGAACGTGTTTCTCAGAAGGGGTTCAAGTAGAAGTCGATACAGTTACAAGCGTCCTCAATGCTGCAACCCACCCAAACCAAAAAAACCAAAAGCGAAAAAGAACAAAAAATGTCAAAAGAAAGAGAAGTGCGCTAGCAAGAAAAAGTGCGACAGATATCTAACACTTAGTCGATATTACAAGGGTCAATTTCGACCTTATTACGATCCCGCACCTAAATGTGAAACAGACTCGGGAATTTCCTTGAAACCCAAATGTTCGGCATTTTCAAGAGCGCTCAGTGAACCTAGAAAAATTCAGTACAACGTATCAGAAACCAGAAGCCAAGGAGTTCATGCAAGAAGTTTATCGGCACCCGCAAAGAGCACATCTCCTACGACTAATTTTTACAATGAATGTGATGAAAATTCAATGAGTGAGACAATTGATAGCTCCGAAGATGAAGAATGTGCAAATACTGGACGTCGTCGAGCTGGTTCCGACGCAAGAAAACTGAGACGCCGTCGTTGTGGAAGTCAAGCAACCAATTCTTCTCAAGCCTGTCTGCAATCAGAATCTTTAGATCAGATTAGACCTACAGGCGGTCGTGAATATCAATTGTGCAATTCATGTTCAGAAATGTCACTAAATAGCCCCCAGAAACAGTGTCGAAGATCCACTTCAAGGATTTCAGTAACGTTTCAAAACTCACATGAACGCTCAACCAGAAATCGATACTTCAAAATGCGGGGCAGTCCTTGTGACGAGAATAAGAACGAAATAGTTCTCGCCGTAGATACTGGAAGCAAAATAACATCGATCTCAACTGAAGGCGCCAACACAAGCACTCCATTAGTGTCAGTCAAGCAAGGTAGCAAGAGTAGGTATTTTAAGAAGTATTGCTTACTTACAAAGAAAATAAAAAACGTAATAAAAAAGAAAAGTAAAGTAAAATCACCTAAATGCGAAACAAACTGTCCAAGAAAGAAGAAGATCGACTCTACAATTCAAGCGGGTTACAAAACAGCT